AGAGTGTGAGGAAGAAATCGCGAGTGCAAATTCCTGCCAGAAGAGTCATCAGAAAATATTTAACTAAATCTCCATCCCTGTGAGAAGATAAAATACTGAAAGATAAGCAAACGGGAGGAAGGAAGGAGCGTGTATTATCTATAGCTGGCTGTCCTCTGTGTATCTTTGTCCTTTCCTGCTATGATTTGCTATTTCAGCACATCAAGAAAACCTGGCACGTTCTGTCTGCAGTGCCTGCTGTCAAGCCCACAGAGTCACGGCAGCTCCTGGGGAAGCGTCCTGGTCTACTGCTGGTCTTTGAGGGCAGTTCAGCAGCCACTGCTGATGAGCCACTGACATCTATTTCTCTTGCCGATAGGAATAAATAAATAAATACTAGTATCTCTAAAGCTTTATGCCTAAGCCACCCAGCCTTCTCATTTGTGGCCAGGAAGACGCATACTGTTTTTCTTAGAATAGTAGAGGGAAATTTTGCTTTCTTCATCTGGTGCAAGTCAGGCTTATTAATATGAAAACCTAGAAGGGTGCCAAAAAGCTCTGCCCTGGGCTATTTGTAGTTGGAAATATGAAATAGCATCTCATCTTTTCCTGTTCTAAGTGTGGCTGCTTTTTCGCTAAATTTGCAAGCTTGGACTCAGGGCTGCGTCTTTATGACTTATTATCGAAGACCAAAATCTTAATTGCCATTTAGGTTAAGTCTTTTTTTCTTAAGTCATTTTTAAAACTAGGCCTCTGTTATACATTCTGTCAGATAAAATGAAGGCAATTTTGTTTGCTATTTCTGTCTTCAGCTGCTCCGCTTTAATCCAAGCATGTGTTTACCTAAGAATACTTATGCAAGTGTGGCTGCAGAAGAGCTGTGAGACCTCTGACAAGGAGGGAAGACCTGGAGTGAGTGACATTCCAAAGGGTTTTTATGCTTGGAAGCTTTGAAACGGTTGGGCCAATTTCTGTGTTTGTCCTTAACATGCCAAACCCCTTCATCCTAAAAGGGACTTGACCCAGTGTGCAGAAAAGAAGGAAAGAAAAGATTTTCTCTGAAGAGTGAAGTATCTTGGAGGAAAGTGATTTTTTTGATTTAATTCTACAGTGTTAATCTTGAGTTTTCAGTTGAGGGCAAGAGTGGTCCATGATAATTGTCTGTAGCAGCTTTCGTGTGCTGCATTGCTAGGAGGATGTTCTTGATAAATAGCGAGAGTGGCATCACTTTTGTTGTGCTGGGAGAAGGTCTGATTATAATCTTGTAATTCCCTGGAATTGACTCTTGGATTTTGTGTGAGGCTCCACCAGCCTCACCCCTGGGAATGGCGGGCTGCAATATAATTGTATTTCTGAATGGCCATTTGCAGCAAACTAGATACAGTCCCAGGAGTCTGGGGTGAGCAGATTGTGAAGTTGGTCTTGTGCCTCGGCAGGCTGTGGTGACAAGAGCTCAGGATGCTGCTGTTCTGTGCAAAATCAAAGGAGGCAAGTACTGGTGAAACGAAGTAGAGATTGTCGCGGTAGCCACAAGAGGGCTGTCCAGTCTTTGGGATGCAAGAAGCACTACTTTATTTTTGCCTTTAGCAAGAATGTAGGCAGCAGATCTGAGCTCCTCTTCAGCGCAGATGTGCCCAATTCTCGTTCAGATACAAATCTTGTAAACCTGTTGGAGTCGGATCTGCTAGACCATCCCTGCCAAAGCTCTGCGATTGCAAGACTTGACTTGGCCTGCCGTAGGTGTAGTTTGCTATCAGACAACAGAGTGGAATTTTTTGAGCGATATCCTGAAAGTGATGTGGCCAGATCTATTTATTTATTTTTCTTGATTCTCTACAGTAATCTTTCCTTGCTGCCTGCCAGTTACACACACTTTCGAGGTTGTATTGGTGTCATCCTGCTCCTGGGCTCTGGGGCCTTTGCAGTTCTTCCACCCTGTCTTTTCCACTTAAGTGCAACAGGAACAATTATCCTTGGTGTTTAATGAATCCAAACCAAAGCTGCTAGAGCTGATGGGGAACTGTAAGGGCAGGTGTAATGAGCCAAGTTTTCTCTAGTGCCCTGGCTAGCATCTGGCCTGACCCAAGACTGCTCCTCTGGGCAAGTACCTCCTGTTCTTCTGACAAAACATGACTTGTTCCTTTTTCATGGCTTTCCTGGGTGACTGTTCATCTTGCCTTCTAACATCAGTTTTTGTGGTGTGCTGACAGAAATCTCTGCTGAAGGAGGGGACTTGAGTCAGTGGGGCCAGCAGAGGATGGGGCAGGCAGCTGAAAGAGTTCTGCCCTGAGAAATTCCTCTGCCTTATGGCTGAGGGTTTTGAGCCTTGCTGGGGGGTTCAAGTGAGGGTGTTTTGTGGTGACAGAATCATATTAACTCTAAATAAAGTGTGACATCTGACAACTTCTTCCCCCTTCCCCAATTTACAGAAGGTGCGGGATCTCTGCCGTGGGCAGGTGGCTCTGCAACTAAACCTGGAAAGCCCAAAGGAAAGAAAAAGATTTCTTCAGTTCGACAAAAATTTGATGTAAGTGTCGTCAAGTGGTCTTAGCTCTTTGAATTGGTCTCAGGGATGGAGAGATCTGCACAGTGTGGTTTTTGTTGTTTTCGGGGTGGTTTCATGTAAAATGGCAGATCACACTGGTTCTGAGCTGGAACAGGAGCTGGGAGCTGGTAGCTGCTGCTCTCATGTGAAAGCCTTTCTGCAGAAGGCTACAGCGTGTCCTGACTTTAACACTCTAGAAAAATCATGGAAGAACACTTGAAAGTCAAAGTCATAAAGCCTTTTATTCCAGGAACTGCAAAAATGCTTCGTGCTGTTTGCAGTTGTGACCTGAACTGTTAGCAGTCTGTTATTTCTGTTTTAAGATTTCTTGCGTATTGTTGAAAAGTTACAGTGATCAAAGGAGAGTTTGATAAGCACCATTCTGAACATGGTAGAAGTCTTAGAATCTGGTTTACTTGCACATTCCCTCATTATGTCACATTTTTAGTATGTGTTTATGCACATGTTTCTGGAATGTTTGATGGTAAGTACTGTGTAAAATGTCTGCTATGGGTGGAATTCCTCAGCATTAGGAACATTAGGGCACTAAGTCACAAATAGTTCCCTCACAGGGCAGAATTACAACTGTGCAAATGACCACAGTTTCATTCCATTTAGCTTCTGCTTTCTCAAACTTTGTTCCTTTTGGAGTTGTCTCTTTTGGGAGGAAAAAGAAAAATTATTCTCCAGGCATACAGGAATGTAGCTTTCCTGTAATGAAAGCCTTCAGAATTACTGGGATGAAAACCTTTAGTTATTAGTAGGTGGATTGGTTTTCACTCTGACTTAAATGCCACTTTGTCCTTTGAACAGAGCAGTTCCCCTTTCTCTCTTGAAACTGAGACATCAGAAATTCACTTAACTCTGTTCTTGTTGTTTATATTTCAAGTATGAGTCTATCATGATGCCCTATAAGAGCCTGATGGGAATTTTTGTTTCAGAGGATTGAGATTATTTTTTTTGTGTGTGTGTGCCCTGCAGAATGAAGGAATAGGAGTTCTGGGACAAATTCATGAGCAAGTGTGCTCTCATTCTCTTGTGGGTCAGGCCTGCACTGAGTAGGTGTTTGGGACCAAGGCTCAGCAGTTCCTGTTTTTTTTCCCCCCTACCTGGGAATTGAGCTAGCACAAGCCCTTCGCTACCTGTAAAAGGGAGTTATACTGGAGTGTGCATGGCCTAGGAACTGTGGGTTGCCACCCTGTGGTATGAATTTGAGTTGCATGATGAGGTTCTTTTTGTCTTGCCAGATAATCGAGTTAATCTTGTGCAATAGCCTGTCTCTGAAACGGTGGCTGTTCAGTAACAGGATGCTGCTTAGAGCAAGATGTGAAAGTGCAGAGTACAGAATCCAGACCTGGGATATGGCAGCCTGTTGCATTTAAAGCCATAGGTTTTTATGAAAGGTAACTTGGGATCTTTGAGAATCACACAAGCTTAGAACCATGGTTTAATATCTTGGTAGGAGACTGTGCAATTAGTAATTAATGCATACCTTTATTGTCCAAAAGCAAAAGGCTTCTGAACAAGAATTGACTACATAGATGAGAACTCTTCAGCACGTCCATAAAATTGTGACTGGCCTGGATAGGTGAAGAGGGATAAAAAGAAGAGTGATCACATTTGAGAATTGCAGAAGCATCAGCAGAAGGCAGCAGGAGCAAAGTGCAGAGCAAACCAGAGGAGATGGCTCTTCATAGAGGGTTTAGTTACTGTGGGGTATCTTTGTGCAGGATGTTGTGAGAGATTTAGATGATTTAAGAGGCTACTGGGCAAGTTCATGGCCTCTTAAATAAAAAGACAACAGCATTGGCGTAGAGAGTTCTTAACTCAAGTTTTTGAGGTTTGGGAGGCTATTTTGGGGAGGAATGGGAAGTGGTCAATATTACTCTTTGTCTTGCTATGGATTTCCTTAAGCACATACTGTCCAGTTGGAGACAGGATGTTTGGCTGCATGAACCACGAGATATGACCACACATATCTCTTCTTATGTTCTAATATTCTGGTTTTCTTTTTAACAGCATCGGTTCCAGCCTCAGAATCCATTATCCGGGGCCCAGCAATTTGTGGCGAAGGATCCTCAGGAGGATGACGATTTGAAGCTGTGTTCCCACACTATGATGCTTCCTACACGTGGCCAGCTAGAAGGAAGGATGATCGTAACTGCTTACGAGCACGGGCTGGACAACGTCACCGAGGAAGCAGTGACGGCTGTTGTTTATGCCGTGGAGGTGAGGCTGGCCTGGGCAGTGGTGACATTTACACTACACCAGCAACAAGACAGTCACTGTGTGCACAGGATGGACCTAGAGCCCATTGATGCTGTGGGGGAAACACCTGTTTCTCTGATTTCCCAGTTGTCACAGGAGGAAATGGATCAAAATCAAAGAGATTGCAGACCTGTGGTATCAGTGACATGGTCTTGGATTTGTGCCCGCAAATTTTAATTTAGAAATTTTTTGTATGTGAAGAGCTCTAGGCACACTTGAGTGGTTGGTTTGGAAAATTCTGTTTGTGTCATTTAAAAGCATTATCAAAATGGTAGCTCCAGTTGGAAGAGTTCTTTTTGCCCATACTGAATTATTTTTAATAGTGTCTCTCTGGAAGTGAAGTGGCAGGATTGTAATTCCTGTAGATAAGGAACCTGCTGCTGCTGGTTTTGGCCATCGGTAGTGTGCTACCTGACATGTCTCAGCTGGGGCCATGTGATGCCACCATTTCTTGGAGCTTTGGCTTATAGGTGGTTTCCCTGAGTCACAGTTCAGAGACTGACCTGAATTCCCCATCCAGGAGCGAGGATCGATTAAGAAGCATTACCTGCTTTGTTTTCCTCAGAGTGCTGCTTTTCTCATAATTTTAAGGTACCTTCACAGTTTGAAAAGGGAGTAAGTGGCTCTTTTGGTATAGTTTTAGGGCGAGTATTTCAGTAAGTGTAACATTTACTCTCTAAGAGATCTGCAGTTGGGGATTTCCTGGCATTTAAGAGACAACTTTAACATGGGAAACAGCATTTCACACATTAAACTACATGTCACGGGCTAATACACGGTGTTATCTCTGTGTTTTCTTCTTATAAATAGGATAATGTTTCTATGTAAAATGTAATGAACTGCTGGCTTGAAACCTTGCTAGTTTACCAAAATAAAGACTAGTGATTGAAAAAATCCAATGATGGGCAGGTGATGTTCCTAAGAGGGACTGGAAGTTCAAGCACAGAATTGTTGGCTGGAAGGAGAAGGAGCACCAGAGGTCTTCAGTCCCATGTCTCCTTTAGGGCTGACTGTCCCCTGCAGTAAATCAGGTTGGCTGTGGCTTTGTCTAGCTGTTTCCCAGGGAAGGGCTGTTGAGTTGACAGATCTTCTTTTATGCACCTGTTTCAGGTAGTTAGAACACACTGTATCCTATCTGGATCTTTGTTCCCTTGCATCTTTAGGTCCTTGTTGCTGTATCAGCACTGCTGCTGTCTTGCCATTTGCTAATGCACTTGTCACAGCAGTAGTTTGGTAGGATGAGCAAGTTGGCAGGAGTAACAAAAAGGGTGTTTTTTTGTTCCAGAACCACCTTAAGGATATTTTGACGTCTGTAATATCCAGGAGAAAAGCCTATCGTCTGCGAGATGGCCACTTCAAATATGCCTTTGGAAGCAATGTTAACCCTCAGCCCTATCTGAAGAACAGTGTTGTTGCCTATAATAATTTAATTGAATGGTAAGGAAGCTCAGCAAGCCGTTAACTTCAAATGTAATTTGCTAGCCCTGAAGCTATTCTGTTGTTCAGTTCCTCTTTCTATCTAACGGGGTCTGTTAGTAATGCTATTTAATTTTCATACATCAACAAAGTAGCAGGACAGAGGGCTGTACTGCTAAATGGGAGGAAAGATGTGGGGATTTCTCAGCAACGAAGAAATACTTAACATTAATTCTTCCTTGCTGTACCCTGGCACTCTGAATGTTTTGTTAATCAACACCTGGTTTGGAAGGTGTAGTGAGTGCCACAGAAATTCTGTTGGCCTTGGTGAAGCAGTGCCTGGGCAGAAGAGCCCTTGCTTGTGGGACACCTCTTGTGCCATAGGAATGAGGTGTCAGTGAGGTCCTGGAGGACTCTGTCACTGTCATTTGCTACACACAAATGTGTTAGTTTGTGGACAGCCTTTCTGGTTAGCAGAGCTGCAAGGTCACCTTGTTTTCCAGCGAGGCAGCGCTGAGCAGCTTACACTGCGTATCTGGCATTGTGTGTGTGACTCTGTCTGTGCCAGAGCTGCTCTCAGCTGTCAGGAGGTTGTAGGTGTGTAAAGATTTGGTTATAGCAATACAAACACTGCCGATACAATCCACTCCAGACAGCTCTGCTCATGTCTTTTAATTTCATGTTGTGGGTGTCTGTCTTCTTAATCTTGGTGGAAACTGGCTGTAAATAAAAGAAAGTCACCATCAGCTATAAAGCAGATTTGACTTTGGGAATCGGTTTGCACTGGTTTTGCTAAACTAGCTTTTTAATGTTCTTAATTACAGCTGTAATTAAATTTATGTAGACAAGACCTAAATCAACCAATACAGAAAAGTGAAGCTCGGGGGCGAAGCCTTGCTGTGTTATTTGCAAAGCTGCTGCTTTTTCCTCAACTGAAGTTTTGCTGCCTGTTCTCTCTGCAGCCCTCCAACCTGTGTGGCACCTTCTGCTGGACAGAGCCTGGCTCCCCAGCCCCTGCCCGATGATGCTGAGCAGCAGGCAGCTCTACTCTTGGCGTGCTCTGGAGACACCCTGCCAGCTTCCCTCCCTCCAGTGAACATGTATGACCTTTTTGAGGCGTTGCAGGTAACTGTTCACCTAATGTGTTGTGCCCCAAGGCAGTGCTGTCCTGAATAGCAGTTGCCAGTCTCTCAGATATGATTTAAATGCATGGACATCTCCTCCTCCTCCAGTATGTTTCCTCCTTTCCCTCTCAAATTAACGTCTGATGTCTGTTTGACATCAAAAATTGCATTTCAGAAGCATTGCAGAAATCCATCTTTCCTTACAGCTGCTGTAGAAAAGGTGAACTCTTCCTCTCGAGCAGGGCTGCAGTGGTCATGCCAGAACTGATCTAGCCTGCAGTTTTCACAGAAATGCAGCCAAATGATTTGCCTCTGTTCTTGCTCTGCAGGGCTGGTTCTCTGCTCATCTTGGAGCAGAGACCAGTTCTGCCTAAGTGTTACAGGAAAAACAAATATGAAAGCATGAAATTTTTCTACCATGTATTTCCAGGTGCACAAAGAAGTTATTCCTGCACACACCGTCTACGCTCTAAACATTGAGAGAATCGTCATGAAACTCTGGCATCCAAACCATGAGGAGCTGCAGCAAGATAAAATTCATCGCCAGCGCCTGGCAGCAAAAGAGGGTCTCCTGCTCTGCTAGGGCCAGGAGGCACATCAGGCCTCAGGTTACTGCCCTGCTGTTCCTTGGACTTGACATGGGAATGCTTCTTGCAAACCTGTGTCAGCATTTCAAGGAAGATGTAAGTTATGAGTCACCTTTTCCTATGGAAATATGACTGAGTTGATACACTTCGTCCGCTTAATCAGAGCGGTGTGCTGTGGAGTGTTTGCAGCAATCCCACTGAATTGGAAAGGAGAAATGAGATTTGTTTGTAAAGACTGTTTTTCTAGGAAAAAATAAATGTGAAGGTGGAAAGAGTTGCTTTTAAAGAAGGTGTATTTGTGTTTTCACTTGTGAGCGTGTGGAATCGATCTCTTCCTCTTCCCCTCTCAGGCAGTTTCTTTTCAGTACAGTCTCCCCAGGCTTTGTCCATCTTCTGTTGCAGTTGATGGGATCCTTTCTGTTCACTTCCCTGGGAACAAGGGACACTTGAGAAGTGAAGATAAGTAATTCTGTAAGCTGACATTGTTCTTGTTGTATCAGGGAAGCGTCTGATCAGAAAATCTGCAAAAACAAGCTATAAAAGGACCTCTCCTTCTTTGCCTCGTCTTTTGAACTGCTTTGCATTACCAAACCTGGAGAGGCACACTGGCTATCATAGGATTCTCTTGTCACTTACCAAAATGTGGAGGAGAAGAGAGTAGTAAATAATGTTTTCCTGTCAGTTGTCAGTCTGGTCCCCCCCTCTCACCCCTGTCATGCAGTAGTTACAACCAATGGTGCAGGAATTGTGTGGCCCTGTGTCAAGAGGTAGTCTCAGCAAGCAGCTTGACCCTCCCCAAGCTGGCACAGCAACTCTTGTGTATGTACAGGAGTGTCACTCAATCACTATCTTAGTGCTGCTGAATCTCTGGTGAAAGAAAACCCTGTGTAAGAGATATTAATAAAAAAAAAAAAAGTTGTCTATATATGGGAGCTATGCAGGTCTGTATATAAAAAGGGGAATTCCACCCGCTTCATTCTGGGTGCTTTACTGTGTTCATGACTCAGCTGCATCCTCCTCAGATGCTACAGGGAACAGGCATATTAAGAGGCACAACGAGTGCCAGTGTCCACATGGATATCGGTGGCTGTCTGGGTGAGAAGAAAAACTCAGGAATATGAAGAAGCTGGCCAAGGCAGCAGCAGGAAACAGCCACAGGCCCCATGGGATGAGAACAGTCATGCATCGGCAGGTCTTATCTCCTGAAATACAGCAGTGTATGGTTAAGCAGGAGTGGGGTGCAAGACTGATCCCCTTGTAGCTGCCATTTTTTATTTATTTAAGCATATATAACTGTCCCAAGTGAGCCATTAGCTCAGAATTCGACCCCAATGGCTTTTATGCGATGCTTGTTAAAAGCAACATTGAACCCAGGTAGCTGGATGTGATGAGATCAGCAAGTCACCCAAAGTACAGACTCTGGGGCGTGGGAGGGGGATTTCCCTAATAATTGTTGTGCTTCTGGTATAAAATGAAAGCATTAAGTTTGTTTGCTAGAAACTTTGGGGCAGCTCTGAGGATTTCGGGTCTGAAGGAAGCATGCAGCCTTCGACAGTATCAGAAGTGAGTTCTGAAACAAAATACTACCTATTGCACAAGAAGCTCCTCTCTCCTGTTTGCTGGTGCTAGGAGGAAGGCTCTGTGAATGAAGCCTTCTGTTCTGAAGAGCTGTTGTCAGTTCCATGTTGAAGAAAATGGGTTAAGTGGGGCACTTGCTACACAACCAAGGCTTGAGTAAGGTAATCCCCGTTTCACAGGGGGAAAACTGAGGGGCACAGGTTGCACTTAACCACACAGTGTTGCCTGAGCAGTGGTACTGCTTTCCCAGTCACTTAGTCCAAAGGGAGCTCCTTTTGTCCACCCCCTTCTCAAAGAAGGGCTAACTTCAAAGCTGGAGCATGTTACTCTTCTCTGAAGATAGATGTGCCACCTGTTCTCTGTTCCAGGATCTGACCTGCCCTTGTGAAGTTCTCCTTTGCTTTTAGTCAGAATTTTTCATGTTGTGCCTGTTGCCTTTCGATCTTTTTTCCTGTGCCCCTCTTTGTAACCCCCCCTTTGAGAGCTGCAGGCCACAGTTAAGATCCCCCTCCTTTCCCCTTCAGGCTGAACAAACCCAGCTCTGCCTTTCCTCAGCTGTTGTGTGCTTCAGCCTCAAACACCACCGTGCCTTTCATGGCACCTGCTCTGATACGCAAGGACAGCGAGGTAAGAGCCCGATGATTCCTCATGGCCTCACCAATACTTGCCTGCGGGTCAGGATCCCTCCCCTTGGCCTGGTCTCACCTCAGCCTTCCTCCACGTATCCACTGTCCCCTCATCCAGCTCGTTAATAAAATCTTGGATGCCATCACCACAGTACTGATCACCAGCAGCCACACTGTAGCCCAGGAGCGCAGGTCTCCCTGGGCACTGCTGCCGAGAGCAGCGTGATGGGAGTGACCTACAGCTGTAGCCCTGTGTGGGGCTTTCCCCCTGCTCAGGGAGAAGAGAGGGAAGGGTCTGGGGCATCTGCTGTAGGTGAAGGGCTCCTCCTGCAGCAGCGTGGGAGGCGTGAGCCCCTGTCCTGCGCAGTGGCAGCTGCCTTGTTTGTTCTTGGAGGCTTTTTCCTGGCTCTAAGGAGTGGGACAGGTGAGGGGGGATTGTGCAGGTCATTCCATCTGTGAATCCAGTGGCCTGGGAGAGAGAAAGGTGGTTCCTGTGCAGTGTGAGGCAGCTGGCTTCTGCTGTGTGGTGACGCACCGCTGTGTTCACGGCAGCTGTTAGTCCTGTAAAATGAGCAAGGCTGCTGAATTGCAAAACACCTGCTGAAATCAGGCTTGAGGGTGCCTGTGAAAGCTTTATCAGCTGTTGCAGACACCTGTCCTGCTGTTCAGCTCTCTCTACCACCAAGCACGTTTCCTATAGTAGTCACCCTTTGCATTGGAGTCTCTTGCTATTCACAGGAGTATTGTATGGAGGGATAGAAGGCAAAAAATGGCCACATCTGCAGTAGTAAGAATTGCATCCCACATCCATAAGCCTGTAGGAACATTGCGATGTGCTGTAAAGTCACCACTCCGCAGCTTCTTGGAGACTTAATATTTGCAGTAGGAAACTACCAGCGGCCACAGGAAGAGGGGAAGAAAGTGCTTGAGGGCTCTACCGGCTCCCCTGAAAGCCAGGACTTTGCCAGCTGGAGGGAGCTGTGTGACCTTAGGAGGTGGCCAATGCCTCGGGGAGGGTGGAAAGCAGAAAAAAAAATCCTCTGTGTGTGTTTATATATATATTTTTCAGGCAGTTCCAGCTGGCATAACTGACCTTCAGTCTGACTGAGGCTTTCGGGCTGGGTGCTGAGGAGGGTCCTAGAGGCACAAACACGTTCCTCTAACCCCTCAAGTGGTCAAGCTCTGACGCTGAGGCTGCTTTGCTGCTGTAGAAAGCAGGTTTTTCAGTGGAGGAACTTAACTGGTGACTCTATGCCACGTTCCTCATATTGGGCTGACCTTGGCCTCTAGGATACTTCTAGCAGAGAGAGGAAAATAGGGAAACGAGAGTGCTTGCATTTAAGAAGAAACCACAAACTTTGCATTTGTGTCACTTAACTGTGAGCACCAGTGAATGGAAAGCTGGGATGGCAGAAGTGCTTTGCTGTCCAGCAGTGCCAACCTAGAACAAGAAAGGAGGCTTTCTCTGGGGCTCCTGGGATGGAAGGAAACATGTGACATGCCACCGCTGTCACGAGTTGTGAAAGTAAGTCTGGGCAAAGCAGTGCCTCTCCCCAGTTCTGAGAAAGCAGAGGCAGAGAAAGGCTTGTGGTGGCTCTTCCCTTTCAGGAACTCGTAGGTGATGATGGATGTGCCTTGCTTGGCTGAAATGACACAGAGGGATTTGCAAGCGGTGCTGCAGCAAGAGCATGAAGTTCCCCGGCCAGCGAGAAGCACAGCTCGTGGTGCAGAGGCGCCTTGGCAGCATCGCTTCAGCTGCCTTCTAGAAGGAAATCACTTCCGAGAGGGTTGTTTGCGGTGTTACCCCTCTTCACCAGTGTGGTTACTGGCATGGTCTGCTTGGCAGGAGGAGAGGAAGACCTCACCAACCTGTCTTGCAGTTACTGCAGCAAACGCTCCCATGTGCACCTCTAGACCAAAAGCTCCCTCTCTCCTTTTCATCTCTAGTAGGAGGAGGCAGGTTGGAAAAGGGGTCAAAATTCTCCATGCCCTGAAGGAGCCACAGGTTTGCAGAAAAGCCCCCCCTCAGCAGTGGCTGAGGATTGTTTGCACAGCAGCTGTGAATTAACGAAGAGCACGAGGCCAGGCCATGGACATTAGTGTCTTCAGCCCATAGATATCTCTCTTCCTCAGCTGTATAGACCTTAGTTCATGCTGCCAGTTGAAGCCAGGGCACTTCAGCTTCTTTTACTATTTTGCATCTTCTGGGGGTTCCTGTTACTTGGCATGGGCATCCTCATGGACACGCTGCTCACCTGAGGGTGCATAGTGCTGTGTGAACGAGAAGTGGGTGTCTTCTGGGTCCAACCCAGGCAAGCAGGCCACCCCTGAGCCACTTCTGTTACCTGCCTTCTGCTCTGGGGTGGAGCTTATTGTGGTCAAAGGCACTAACGGAATGCTGAGTGCTCCAGGTTTGGTAACAGGGTAACCACAGAGGAATCCTCTCTACCAGGACATCTCAGACATCAGCTTAATTATCACTTCTCTGGATATGTGTTGTAATGATTGGTTATCATTAAAAAGTGTTGTTTCCATTTGAATTTCTGAAACTTCTGTTTTCCGTCGGTGGGTTTTGTTATGTCTTGGTTAAATTGAAAAGCTCCTAGAATCAGATACCTTGTTCCATGCAATGACACAGCCACTTCTGAAATTTCTCTTATCAAATTGAGAAGGAGCTGGGGCTGCTTTCATCAGCAGCTGGGGCTGCTTTCATCTTGCCGGAAGGGCTGCTGCCCTCGCCACGGAGCAGTCCGTACTCTCTTCAAATCCTCTGCATCTTCCAGCGGTGGGACAGGTTGGCAAAGGCCACCTTCCTTATCCTGCTTAATCCTCAGCCAGAGATGGGAAGCTACAGCAAACTATGAGGTGCTGTGACCCCGGCTGAGCAGCTCTCCAGAGCAATCCCTGATATTGTCAGTGTTCCCCAGATAATTGTGGAAATCTTGTTTACGCCTTTCAGTTCCATCTTGGGCTGCCCAGGAGCAGTAAAGGCACCTCAGGGAACAGCCTTCCACCCAGTTTTGTTCTTACACTGAGGGTGGACGTGGGTCCCTGAGATGCTGCCGGCAGGGCTTGGTGTGGA